AGTCCTGGACTCTATGAACCAGAACCTGAAAAAGACACAAATTTCATGACAGACTGTGATAATGTAGTGAACGCTGGCAAAGTCCTGCAGACAAAAATATAATTTACAAAGGATCAAGTTATCCTCTGAATGATCTTACATGTACACCAGTGCACCTTCTCTAATTTCATGTGGGTACCACTGATGTCCAGTGGTGTGAAACCAGTATGAGTTCTCATTTGATATGAGTATGCAGAAGGTCAGATCATCAATGTCCAAACTCAGTGCATTTGCTCCTATTTTTGTCAACCAAGTATGTGGTTGCCATTTGTCACAAAAACGTTTTCTCTTCAGCAGAAATTGCCACATATATAAAATGAATCAGCAACAAGGTTCTAGCATCCTACAGGTGTAGATCCAGGTAGCTAATTAATCCTCTACAATCTCTCATTCTAATGCATTATAGCAATCCTCTTTGTGTTATTGCTTGTGTAATATTTTGGCTTTTGAGAGATTTCTCTACAGAGAAAAGAGTTAACAGCAGGTAATGCCATTCATCTCCAAAGGAGTTTGAAATTTTCAGTGTTAGTGATGAATGAGGGTATCTGACCCACATCTGTTTTACATTAGAATGGAACATTGCCCTGACATCGTTAGGAGCATTTGTCAAGATTCCCTGGACAGAGCTTCTGTAAATTACATGCTGCAAATGTGTCAGGGTCAGATAAGAGGATATCATTAACTGTGCTAAAGTTTACTCATGATTCTGTCAGTTCAACTTAATATGTTAACTGCCAACCATTTTCCTTGAGCTGTTTCATTAAATCTTTCGTTCACAGGAGGAGGGAAAAAAAAAGTATCACTGTACCCAAAAAATATTGCACATGTTCTTTTCTCATAAATTATATTAATTGCAGACATGGTCACAAAGCATATTAAACTCAGGCATGCGTAAATGAATTAAAACATATGAGCATTTTATTGTGCCTATGGTGGGTCCTACATCCTAAAATACCAACCATGTTAAACAGGCATAATGTTTCATTTAAATAGAATAAGCTTTTTCTCAGTTTAATGGCTTTTATTTTGGTGATAATAGAAGTATTTTCTAATAGCTGCTAATGGACCAGATGTTGCATACGTGAACTTTGAGGCTTTCATCACTCAGTTGCTCTTTCTGGATCATATCCTCAGCTAGTGATTCTGTGCTGACTCCACCAGCAAGGGACTTGTCTTAAGGAACATTTTGGATTGTTTCAGGTGTGCTCTCTGAAAACTTTTCCATAGAGTTTAGTCATTGTAGTCCACTGTGTTCTGTTTGCTTATTCCTAATTTCAGCTTTGTTTTCTAATAGAATAGAATGATTTTATCAGTTGCACATAGTGTATTTTGTTGCATAAGCACAAAGACCTCAACATTCCTGTGTGTTTTGTACAAAATGAGAACAAAATATATGCAGCCAAAACACCTATATCCTGATAATTTTTTAAAAATTCTTTTGCATTTATAGGAGATCTGTTCTAAAATAAATAGAATAGTTACAGCAACATTTAGGTGTTATATTAGCCCATGGGATCTGGATCAGTTGAGGCTGGTAATCACTATGTTAGTTTTCCCAAAGTGACTCAGAAGGAAGTACATATTTTCCGGTAATTTGGATGGTATAGAGGTTGAATAAATTTATTTTCTACCATAATTATTGTAAAACAGACAAAGCTGTTTATTTACTTACAACTCTACTGCTTCAGACCCTCAGAAGATCTGAGCTGCAAAATCCAGACCTCTGTGTGTCTCCTGTACACTGCTAAGCTGAAGGTGCTGAGCATCCTGCAGACCTGGACCATTAATGGCTTTCTAATTGATTAGGTGAAAGTCAGCCATGCCCTTCCTGTAACTCCTTGTATGGGTGACAAGGTCATGGCACATACCATATGAAAGACTTCTGCCCTGAGGCTACTTCCCTTAGAGCTTTCAAAACAGACATGACCAAAAATCTAATTATTTAGATACTAATCAACTGCAGGATGATTCCGAAGGCCTCTGAAGAAGGTCTTTCGGAGATGGCTGCTGTTTGCTCAGTTGCTTCAGTTTGCTCTACCTCAGAGGCAGAGAGCTCTGTCAGTTCTGCTCCAGAGTGTCTACTAGGTGCATATCCATTCAATAAAATGATGCTTGAAGACTTGAATTGTTAGCTAATTAACGTAGAAATTTGAAAGTAAATCTCACTAAATGCTAATTTTAGTTTGCCAAAGAAGATAAATCTCTATCCAAATATAGATGCTACTGAGGTTTGAGTGGCATTTGAGACCATGTCTGGATCCAGGTTTAAATTTCAAGACTAATTTTAAAATAGCTTCCAATCCCAAGGTTTTTGAGCTCACTGTTTTTGCTGGCAAAGTCCAAATAGTTTTGTCTTGGGCTTTATTCTATTAAACTGAAAAAACTTGAGTTATAAAATATGCAGTTGGTAAAATAGCTAATTGCCCTAAAAGTCCTGATGGAAAACAGTGTGTGATGCGAGAGCTCTCAGGCAGAGAAAGTGCTGCTGGTACTCCAGGGGAGCTGTGAGAGTGACATGAGCCCAACCTCTTCTCCTGTTCTTGAACTTGGAACACAACGTGGTAAAGTCCTGTCAATACTGATATCACACTGGTGCTATGCAGGGATGGAAAGGGTTGTGCACTTACTTCAGATTTCTGATAAACCCCTGTGTGTTTTACACTGTAGTCAAAACCATGATACTCCTGCCAACATAAATATTTTCCCAAGTAGTAATTTTCAATGTAAATGTTTAAGTTAGGCCATGGGGTTTTTTTTGGTGTGGATCTTGCTCTTCTTTTAACTCTATTAGTGTTAATTTCAAAGGACAAGGATTAATATAACCTAACTGAACATAGATTCTAATACTGCGTCCTGCTGATGAAATGCTACATTTCCAGACCATATCATTTCCTAGAGCTATGAGAAAAATATTTGTAATTTCTGAAACAGAAAAACTTGGTAAAATAATCTTTAGAAATTTTGATAGTTTTCAGGAACTAATTTTGAGAAGAAAAATGCTGAAAACACAGTTATTTCAGCTTTTAGGGAGTTTTAGGACAAAATGCTGTGCAGGTTGCAGTGCAGATAACATGATTTTTCAATCTGTGCTGAATCCAGAGTTGGTTGTTTTTCACTAACCTCAAATTTTTTTAATAGGTTTTGTGCATTGAAAAGATTTGTTGAATTAAGTAGAAAATATCTTAGAACCTGAATCCAAATTCTTCTGGTATGTTTTTAACTTAAAGGTTATAAGATTTCAGCATCTGAATGAAGCCTTGGGATATATTTTGAAACTTCTTGTGTGAATCCTTCAGTTTGCGAAACATTCAGCAAATAGCATCAGCTAAACTCATGTTTTTCTGCTGAGTGAAACAGAAGTGAACATTCTGGTGCTGTACATAGTAACTGAACTTTCTGAGTGGTTTTTTTTTTCCAATGAGATGTCCTCAGTGCATCTGATGCAAAGATATTTTGTGTTCTCGATGCAGATATCTGTGTGTCTCATTTTGAAGTACTCTCCTTGTACCTCTTGCTGTTTTCCTTATCAGACATGTAAAACTTGGACAGGTCTGTCTTCCTACTTAAATCCCTGGATCTTGTTTCATTTATTTATCAGCAAACAAACTAAACTCGGATCTGGGACCACAAGCTCTCTGCAATAATAATCTCTTTTCTTTCACGATGGAAAGTAAGTACAATTCCAGGAGGACCATCAGAGATTTAAGAACCAAATATGTTCTTGTGAGGTTTAATTTATTCTTTACAAAATAGCCTCAAATTTGAATGATTTCTCTTTAGTTTATGGTAAGAAGTGCTGGAAAGCAAAATGATTATCAAATAGCACATGTCAGTTATTTGTAATAACTTTTTGGAGCAAGAACAGCCTGTAAATTATCAGAATATGCAGTTTTGGCAGAAGCTGTACGTCATCCATCCATTATGAGCTGCAGACTGTTTGTCAGGCTTTGAAGTACAACTTATTCCAGCAGAAGTGAGCAAATCTCTCAGTCATACTTATTTTCCAAGTATGCTGTAGAGATGTGCCAGGAAAGGAAATGCTCACCAACCCATAGTGTGAGGGATTTTTGTGCAACAAGAACATATCACTGTAGCTTCTGTCACTCCTGCTTAAAAGTGCAGATGCTTTCAAACTCTTTTTTTTTGCTCTTCTACTGGAAATTATGGCCTATAAGGACAAGCATGTATTTTCCAGTAACCTCTTGTCAACTAATCTTGACTGCTGATTTCGCAACTGCCCGTGTAGAAGCAGCTTATTCAAGATGTCACAGTTGACTTGAAGCCAGTCTGGAATGCCTGGCCCTTTCTCTTGTGTCTTCAAACTCAGAGGATGAAACTGGTAACTTGAAGCAGCACTTCACTCTTTCACATTCATTTCATCCCAGGCCAGCACACAGGGCACGCAGCTGCAGGAGGTACAGCTGCTCTGCCCCTTTCCAGGCACCCAGAACATCATGAACATGTGGGGTTTGCTGGGGTTCCATCAGTAGTGTTGCTGTGATATGCTCCAAATTAATGTCGTTGTAGTGACTGCTTATCTTGGAGAAGAAAATCATGTGAGCTTTTTCACAGCTTTTCTATGTTTGTAGATCATGCAGGACAGCATGGCTAAACAACCACTTCTTGCTTTGTTTTTCCTCTTTAATTTAGTCATCAAGGAATAAACACCTGTCTGATCCCAGCTGGGGTCAGGCACTTTAAAACCATAAAAGTTTTAAAAACTAATTTTCCTTATTTGCCCTTGGTATCACTTCTTATTGCCTGTTAGACATCATATTTTATTTTGGTGGATGATGCAACCAAATTCCACTTCCTTTTGTGTTTAGCTACTCAAAGCACAGTTCGAGTACCAAGTCTACCTGGTTTAGGGAACCAAATTGATAGATTTGAGAACTTCTGTGGCTCTGTAAGCAATACAGTTCTTCACATGTTTAAACTCTTATTGTTATTCTATCTTTTAGGTAATGGGACTCTTGACTAACCACGGTGGTGTGCCTCACCAGCCCCAAACTGATTATGCCCTGTCCCCTTTAACTGGGGGCCTGGAGCCCACCACCACTGTCTCAGCCAGCTGCAGCCAGCGGCTAGATCATATGAAGAGTTTAGACAGTCTGCCCACATCCCAGTCCTACTGCCCACCGACCTACAGCACCACGGGCTACAGCATGGACCCTGTCACAGGCTACCAGTATGGACAGTATGGACAAAGTGAGTACTGGGACACGTGCACTGGGAAGTGCAGCACTGCACCTGGTCCTCAATGGGCTGTAACACAGAAAATCATGAGCAGAGATCCTAATGGCTGATTGCTCCTCCTCTCCAAAGCTGTGCGGAGCGCACTGATGCGATAGCTGATTGTTCGAGCAAGATTTCTGCTGCATAATTATTTTCTTAAGTGATGTCAACAACATCTTGATGTTATTAATTGTTGAGACATGAAACCTGATTGCCATTAGGTAAAACATAAGGGTTGTCCAAAATGAAATAACCGCTGGCATTCCGTGATTAGAAACACATGTTCTTAATGAGGTCAGCTCAAGAATCATTACAGTATATAATCCCAGATACATAGAGTTTTGTCAAACTTGTCCCAGGAATAAAAATATTAGTCCCTTTCCTTTGATATATCAGTATTAAATATGACAATGTCAACCTGTAGTTGGCATGGCCCCATGCTGTGGGGTTGTCACGGCATGACTTAAAAAGCTTCTTTCGCTTTTTTTTTTTTTTTGCAGGTGCCTTTCATTATCTGAAGCCAGATATTGCATAAATGAACTGTCCACTTCAAGTTAAAGCTGGTCTTGTTTTCCGGTCTCACTCCAAGGCTTGGATAAGAGGGATCTTCTCAACACACTGCAGCCTAAACTGGGGCAGTCCCATTGAGAGAAGCAGACTTGTTATGTTCTCTCCGGTCATAGCTTTTAGTAGACTTTTGATGATTGGACAAAGCTCTACAGAAGACAAAGGCCAAAAGCAATAAGGAATAAATGCAACATGCTTCATTATGAGTGGGTATACAAAACAGAGCAGTATTTAACATCACTGCCTGGCAAACATTCCATTTTTTTGTTGTTGTTGTTGAAATTAATGTGCATTGATTGGGACAAACGGAACATTCTGAAACTAAGCTTAGAGCAGTTGAGCTCTGCGTACTCTGACTCATCTGACATCCAGTGCTGACTTTAGTCTAACTTTAAAACTGCTCAGTTTCTGAAGCAAAGTCAGGAGAACCTCTTTCATTTTACACACTGGAAATTGTCACCAAGAGGCAACATCACAGTCCATAGGAAGCTAGGATAAGTGCAAAAGACTTCCAGGGAACTTATTGGTTACCTTGCCATGCTTTTGTTATCATGTTGTCAATAAATGTCACTCATGAGATTTGCTTTACCAAGAGACAAGATCTTGTTTAACACAAAAAATAGATTTTACCTTTTTTTGTATGTGGAGTTTTCCCAGTCCATTGTACCTTTTCAAACAAACATGGGAGGAAAAAACCCCACCAACAAAGCAACTGATTTTTCACAACTGCCTAGCAATGTGCAATACTGTGTACCTCACACAAACTTTGGGATCATCCAAAGTCATAGAGATAAAACCAGAACTATATTTTTGCAGGTACTTTTATTTTTGCAGTGCATAATTCCTGATGATAACACGCAGAAATGTCGCAGTCTCCTGGATTACTGAAATCCAGTTTGCTAATCATGATTAAAAGGTCATCTTCAGGAAACAATAAGACGAAATGATTACGTTTACATTTTTTTTTAGTGATGTACAGGACATAGACAGAGATGGACCTGTATTTGACACATTTGTTTAAATTATACAGCGATATCCAATATAGAAAGTATAATTATAGGAACCAAGGTTTACAAGAAGTTTGCATTGTGACATTTTAGAATGTCAATAAATTTGTGTTTTGTGATGTTGAGAGGAAGAGGACGATGGAAGGTGGGGTTATTTATTTCTCTCTATTCTTGGAACAAAGAGGGAGGCAGAACACAAATACATTCCTTTTAGTGTTAAGGACTATGAAGTAGTGAGTTAGACTAGGTTCAGTACAGAGGTTAGTTCACACATTGGTCTTAAGGGTGATGGAAAACTGAAATATTATCTTTGTGTTGCAGCCTCTAAAACAACATATGTGTTGTAAAAAAAACCAAAACCCAATTAAAAAAAAACAAACAAAAAAAAGAAAACAAAAAAAAGTCTTTCATGTAAAAAGTTCAGTAAATATTTACTATTTATAATGAATAAACATTATGAAGACTTGCAAAGCACTGATGATTTTGTCCTAAAATGTAGTATTGTGCTAAATACATTGATACATTTTAACTGAATATCATGAAGAAATAAACCATGTTATCTTCAATGCAAACTGTATTCATTATGAAAGTGCATCCTGCACACATCCAAGGCTGTGGGAGCATCAGGCAGGCTCCGTGCCCAGGTACTGCCAACGTGGAACTCTGTATGTGTCTGTGTGTGTGTGTTAATGAACTATGCATTTTTCTAGTGCTGTTGGTACCTGTAGTACATCTTCCCAACAAGAGAAAAGCTTTTGCCATGCATTTAAAAGAAAATCATATAGGCTTAAACCCAGCACAAGTGGAGTCACTGGGCTGACTTCACACAATGCAGGAACTTTATGATCAGTTATGGGCTGTTATCTGTCCTGAATTATATATATTTTTTCCT